AGTGTACATGAGGGTCTGTAGTGTACATGAGTGTCAGTAGCTTACATGAGGGGCAGTAGTGTACATGAGTGCCAGTGTTGTACATGAGGGCCAGTAGTGTACTTGTGGGTCTGTATTGTACATGAAGGCCTGTAATGTACATGAGGATCTGTATTGTACACTAGTGCCTGTAGTGTACATGAGGGCCAGTAGTGTATATGAGGGTGTGTAGTGTTCATGAGGGGCAGTATTGTATATGAGGGCCTTTTGTGGGCATGAGGGTTGAAGTGTACATGAGAGTCTGTAGTGTACATGAGGACCAGTAGTGAAATGAGGGCCTTTAATGCACATAAGGGCCAGTTGTGTACATGGGGGCCAGTAGTGTACATGAGAACCAGTAGTGACATGAGGGCCTTTAGTATTCATAAGCGCCAGTAGTATACATGAGATTCAGTAGTGTTCATGAGGGCCAGTAGTGTACATGAGAATCTGTAGTGTACATGAGGGCAAGTAGTGAACATCAGGGTCTGTAGTGTACATGAAGGGCAGTATTGGATATGAGTGACAGTAGTAGTCTGTAGTGTACATGAGGGCCAGTAGTGAACATGAGGGCCTGTAGTGTACATGAGGGCCTGTAGTTTGCATGTTTTCCAATAGTGTACAAGAAGGCCAGAAGTGTACATGAGTGAGAGTAGTGTACATGAGGGCCTGTAATGTACATGAGGGCTAGTAGTATTCATGAGTGCCAGTAGTATATATGAGGGCCAGTAGTGTAAATGAGTGCCAGTAGTGTACATCAGGGCCTGTAGTGTACATAAAAGCCTGTAGTGCACATGAGGTCCAGTAGTGTTCATGAGAGCTTGAATTGTACATGAGGGCCAGTAGTGAACATGAGGGCAGGAAGTGTACATGAGGGTCTGTAGAGTACATAAAGGCCAGTAGTGTACATGAGGGTCTGTAGAGTACATAAAGGCCAGTAGTGTACATGAGGGTCTGTAGGGAAAATGAGGGGCAGTAGTGTACATGAGGGCCTGTAGTGTACATCAGAGCCTGTAGTGTCCATGAGGGCCAGTAGTGTACATGAGGGTCTGGAGTGTATATGAGGGCCTGTAGTGTATGTGAGAACCAGAAGTGTACATGAGGACCAGTGGTGTACAAAAGGGTTTGAAATGTACATGTCGGCCAGTAATGTACATGAGGGTAAGAAGTGTAAATGAGGCCCAGTAGTGTACATGATGGTCAGTAGGGTACATTATGGTCTGTAGTGTACATGAGGGCCAGTAGTGTACATGAGGGGCCAATGGTATACATTGAGGGCCTGTAGTGTACACGAGGGCCTGTAGTGTACATGAGGGCTAGAAGTGTACATGAGGGTCTTAAGTGTTTACGAGGGCCAGTAGTGTACACGATCGCCAGTAGTGTACATGAGGGCTTGTAGAGTACACAAGGGCCAGTAGTGTACATGAGAGCCTGTGGTGTATATGAGGGCTTGTTGTGTACCTGACGGTCTGTAGTGTACATGAGGGCCAAAGGTGTACATTGAAGGCCTGTAGTCTACACGAGGGCCTGTAGTGTACATGAGGGCTAGTAGTGTACATGAGGGTCTGAAGTGAACACGAGGGCCAGTAGTGTACACGATCGTCAGTAGTGTACATGAGGGTCTGTAGTGGCCACAAGGGCCAGTAGTGTACATGAGGGCCTGTGGTGTACATAAGGGCTTGTTGTGTACATGACTGTCTGCAGTGTACATGAGGGCCTGTAGATTACATGAGGGCCAGTAGTGTATATGAGGGTCTGTAGTGCACATGAGGGCCAGCTAGTAGTGTACATGAGGGTCAGTAGTGTACATGCATGAGAGCCAGTGGTATACATGCAGGCCAGTAGTGTACTTGACGATCTGTATGGTACATGTGGGCCTGTATTGTACATGAGGGTCTGTAGTGTGCACGAGTGCCTGTAGTGTACATTATTGCCAGTAGTGTATATGAGGGTGCATAGGTTTCATGAGGGCTGTAGTGTACATGAAAGTCTGTAGTGTACACGAGAGGCCTGTATTGTACATGAGGGCCAGTAGTGTAATTGAGGGCCAGTAATGTACATGAGGGCCTGTAGTATACATGTGAGCCAGTAGTGTACATGAGAGTCTCTAGTGTTCATGAGGCCCTGTAATATACATGAGGGCCAGTAGTGTAAATGAGGGCCAGTAGTGTACATGATGGTCTGTAGTGTACATGAAGGTCAATAGTGTACATGAGGGCCAGTAGTGTACATGAGGGTCTGTGGTGTACATAAGGGCCAATAGTGTAGATTAGGGCTAGTAGTGTACATTATGGTCAGTGGTATACACGAGGGCCTGTAGTATGCATGAGAGCCAATAGTGTACATGTGGCCCTGTAGTGTACATGAGGGCCATTAGTGTACATGAGGGGCCAGTAGTGTACATAAGGACCAGTAGTATACATTAAGGCAAGTATTGTACATGAAGGACAATAGTGTTCATGAGGGCCAGTAGTGTACATGAGGGCCAGTAATGTACATGAGGGCTTGGAGTGTACGTAAGGACCTGTAGTGTACATGAGGGTCAGTAGTGTACATGAGGGTTTGTAATGTACATGAGGGCCAGTAGTGAACAGGAGGGCCAGAAGTGTACATGATGGCCTGTAGTGTACTTGAGGGCTAGTAGTTTACATGAGGGCCTGCAGTGTACATGAGGGCCTGTAGTGTACATGAGGGTCTGTAGTGCACATGAGGGCTAGTAGCGTATATGAAGGCCTGTAATGTACATGAGGGTCTGTAGTATACATGAGGGTCTGTAGTGTTCATGAGGGCTAGTAGCGTATATGAGGGCCAGTAGTGTACATGAGGGCCAGTAGTGTACATGAGGGCCAGTAGTGTACATGAGGGCCAGTAGCGTACATGAGGGCCTGTAGTGTACATAAGGGCCTGTAGTGTACATTAGGTCCAGTAGTGTACATGAGGGCTTGTAATGTACATGAGGGCCAGTAGTGAACATGAGGGCCAGAAGTGTACATGAGGGTCTGGAGTGTATATGAGAGCCTGTAGTGTATATGAGAACCAGAAGTGTACATGAGGACCAGTGGTGTACAAAAGGGATTGTAATGTACATGAGGGCCAATAATGTACATGAGGGCCAATAATGTACATGAGGGCCAATAATGTACATGAGGGCCAATAATGTACATGAGGGCCAGAAGTGTAAATGAGGGCCAGTAGTGTACATGATGGCCAGTAGTGTACATTAAGGTATGTAGTGTACATGACGGCCAGTTGTGTACATTAAGGTATGTAGTGTACATGACGGCCAGTTGTGTACATGAGGGCCTGTAGTGGAAGTGAAGGCTTGTAGTGTACATGAGGCCCAGTAGTGTACATGAGGGCCTGTAGTGTACATGTCTGCCTGTAGCGTACGTGAGGGCCAGTAGTGTACATGTGGAACTGTAGTGTATATGAGGGCCAATAGTGTACATGAGGGTCAGTAGTGTAAATTAGGGCCGGTAGTGTATAAGAGGGCCAAGAGTATACTTGAGGGCCAATAGTTTACATGAAGGCTTGTAGTGTATAGAAGCGCCAGTAGTGTACATGAGGGCCAATGGTGTACATTGAGGGCCTGTAGTGTACACGAGGGCCTGTAGTGTACATGAAGGCCAGTGGTGTACATGAGGGTCTGAAGTGTACACGAGGGTAACTTGTGCTCACGATGGCCAGTAGTGTACATGAGGGCCTGTAGTGTACACGAGGGCCTGTAATGTACTTGAGGGCCAGTAGTATACATTAGGACCAGTAGTGTTCATGAGGGCGAGTAGTGTACATGAGGGCCAGTAGTGTACATGAGGGCCAGTAGTGTACATGAGGGCCTGTAGTGTTTATGAGGGCCTGTAGTGTACATGAGTGCCAGTAGTGTACATGTAGGCCTGTTGTGTTCATGAGGGCCAGTAGTGTATTTGAGGGCCAGTAGTGTATTTGAGGGCCTGTAATAATTGCCCTCTAGATCACCTCAGAATCTGTTATGTACTTCAGAGTCTCTTGAGCATCTTCGCACCCTTAGAGCACTTCAGTGTCTGAAGTGTACTTTACAGCCTGCAAAGCACTTCAGATTTTGGTGAATAGCTTACAGTCTGAAGAGTACAACAGGGTCTGAACCGAGTATCAGGACTTGTATATCACTTCATGTTATGCAGAGTATATCAGGGCATAGCTTGTACTTTAGTCTGTAGAACATCTTTGGTTCACTGTCTGGCGAGAACTTCAGATTCAGGAGAGCTCTTCAATCTGGAGTGCACTTTTGGGTATGGATTGTGTTTTATGGTCTAAAGAGCACTTCAAGGTCAGTGGAGCATTTCACGATCTGGAGATCTCTTCGGGGTCTCTTGCGTACTTCTGGGCTTTTAGAGCACTTTATGGTCTGCTGTGCATATTAGGGTTTGGTGTGTTCTTTAGAGTCTGTAGAGCACTTCATGGTCTGAAGAGCACTTCAGGGTTTGGAGTGTATTTCAAGGCCTCTAGAGTATTTAAGGGTCTGAAGATTACTTCATGGTTTTGTCAGAACTTCAGGGTCTGGAGCATACTTCGTGGCGTGTTGAGCACTTAAGGGTCTGGAGAGAACTTCAATGTCCTGAGCTCACTTCAGGGCCTGTAGACTACTTCAGGGTCAGCAGAGCACTGCAGGGTTTGGAGAGTATGTTAGGACCTGTAAAGTACTTAAGGGTCTTGAGAGTACTTCAGGGCTTGGATTGCACTGCAGGGTCTGGAGAACCCTTCACTGCCAGACGTGCACTCATTAAAAATGTAAACATGGTAAAATTGGATTGTTTCGAGATAAATAATTGTTCTATAAATGCTGAAAAAGTGCCTGATAATTCAGTATTAAGACGTGAAGCAATATCAGTGTAGCTGCAAGTTTTTATGTTCAGAATTTATGTATAAAATTTTAGGATGATTAGATTTTCAAAATTTAGAACTGATATTAAAAAATTATAGCTTAATATTTGATGTGTTGGCAGGTGTGAAGGAGAGGGAGAACGCCACCCGCCGCCTCCTGGACACTCTGGACCAGCTGGAGTGGGTCAACAAGGCTCACCAAGCTGACAACCTCAAGCTGGAGGAGGAAAACACTCGCCTAAATACAGCGATTCATTTGCTCGAGGAGGACAACAGAAAGACTAAGAACGAAGTGCAGCTTGCTCAGGAGGAGATTGTTCTATTAAAGTCCCAGATCCGTCAAGTGGAGGAGGACTCCAGGCTGGTCAAGGAGGATAACATTAAGACTAAGAACGAAGTGCGCCTTGCTCAGGAGGAAAATATTCAATTAAAATCCCAGATCCGTCAAGTGGAAGAGGACTCGAGGCTGGTCAAGGAGGAGATCATTCTGGTCGAGGAGGAAAACAGGAAGACTAAGAATGATGTTCGTTTATCACAGGAGGAGAATCGCCTCGTAAGGGCCGAGCTACGCCAAGTGGAGGAGGACGCGAGGCAGGTCAAGGAGAGGATCCGAGAGTTGGAGTTAGCGGAGACCCAAGCCCAGGATATGAACAATGCGGCAAAGACCAGGGTAGCTGAGCTAGAGAGGGAGATCAAACTACTGCAAGAGACGAATAATAAGACAGAGGGAGAGAAGAGACATGTTGAGGACCAACTTTCACTCTTGGAGAAGGAGAAGAGAGATGTTGAGGACCAACTCTCACTCTTGGAGAAGGAGAAGAGAGATGTTGATAGCCAACTCTTACTCTTGGAAGAACAGGTCATGGTCCTGCAAACATCAATTGCAGCTCTAGAGGAAGACAAAGAAGGACAAGCACAGAAAATCAACAGAGTGGAAAGCGAGAAAAACAGAACTGAAGTCAAGAGTCGCTTGATGGAAGAGGAGCACCAGGAGTGCAAGAGGAATGTTACTGAACTTTCCGCCAGGTAAACTGTGCTATTTGACCTGTACACAGATATAGCATCACAGTGTCTTCCCTACATTTGATGTTGTACTTAGAGAAATAGTTGGAGGATTCTTGTGGAGATATATTGTGAGAAAAATGCAAAGGGAACAAATAGAGGGAAGGAAGGAACATATTCTTTGTAACTAGGTTTGTAAGTATTATAGAATATTTATTAAAAAACAAAATGTAATTTGAACTGTGAATATTTTTCTTCTCGGACCGTTTTAGTTTTAGTTGTGGAAGACTTAGTTTTGTATGTGGTGTTAAAGCTTCTGAGTACGTCCAGTTACTTGACTGTTGACTAATATATTCCCTATTCCCAGGTTACTGTCAGCGAGGGACTGTGCGGAGCTGTACTGTAAGGGAGCACGGCAGGATGGCGTCTATCTCATCATTCCCGGCAGGTAAACACACACAAGATTTGTCAGACTACATTACATTTTGACATTCTCCTGTTGCTACAGTTTCCTTAAGGAAGATGGTTAGTACTGATCCTGAGGCTCTATATTTGTATTCAACCTGTCCCCTCATCTAATACATTGCATTTTTAATGGAATCAACAAATTCATTAAAATTGCAGAGTTTCAGTAAAAATTAGAGCACCATAATACTGACGTCTTATGAACATCAGTCACGATAAGTTAAGAAAGATTGCTCAGATTTGAACGTTTATGGATAGGTGAAAAAATTTGAGAATGTAATGCCTAATGTCCAGGCTCTAGCTGGTGACCATTGTCTCTCTTGATCACCAATCACCAGATGGTGAAGATTGTCTCTGATGATCACCAGGAACCATGTGAGGAAAATTGTCTCTCTTGATCACAAGGAACCAGGTGGTGAAGATTGTCTCTCATGATCACCAGGAACCAGGTTGTGAAGATTGTCTTTGATGATCACCAGGAACCATGTGAGGAAAATTGTCTCTCTTGATCACCAGGAACAAGGTGGTGAAGATTGACTCTGATGATCACCAGGAACCATGTGAGGAAAATTGTCTCTCTTGATCATCAGGAACCAGGTGGTGAAGATTGTCTCTCCTGATCACCAGGAACCAGGTGGGAAAGATTGACTCTCCAGATCACCAGGAACCAGGTGGGAAAGATTGACTCTCCTGATCACCAGGAACCAGGTGGGAAAGATTGACCCTCCTGATCACCAGGAACTAGGTGTTGAAGATTGTCTCTCTTGATCACCAGAATCGTTCAGGACCTTGTATACCACTCATGTTAGATCAGTCCTGGAATAAGCAACTCCAGCCTGGAGTCCATACCTAGTTAAACACAAGACAAAATTAGAGAAGATTCAGCAGAATGTCACCAGACTCGTCCCTGAATTGAGAGGAATGAGCTACGAGGAAAGGCTAAAGGAGATGAACCTCACGTCCCTGGAAAACAGAAGAGAAAAGGGAGACATGATAACCACCTACAAAATTCTTAAGGGAATTGACAGAATGGACTGAGACAAAATCTTCATCATGGGTGCAACACAAACAAGGGGACACAGGTGGAAACTTAGTATCCAGATGAGCCACAGAAACGTTAGAAAGAATTTTTTCAGTGTCAGAGTAGTTAATAAATGGAATGCATTAAGTGGCTTGATAGCTGGTTTCCTCGTTGATGTGAGACCATTGACGACAGGGTTTCCCACAAACCGTACTTGACACGGTGGTACTCGCAGGAGGGCGTGCTGTATGTATAACCGACACACGCACACACTCTGGCACTGGCGGTGAGTAAGGGTGGTGACGTCACGTGGTACAGTGAGGGCGGCAGCGGCGGGCTACTCGCTTGGGACAAAGTGGCGGTTGGCGGCAGATTTTATTGGACTATGCTGGTACACTTGTGGTAAAGTCACACACAGGTTACTTAGGCGGAGGCACTGCCTTAGTTCACTCTAAGTCACTCACAACGATCTCCACTTGTGTCTAGGGGTTACCTGATACCAGTCTGTTTCTCTCTGGTGATTTTTCCACTAGGCTTCTAAACAATATATCACAATTGCAATTCCGGGCAAATGTTGGTATATCGAAGAGACGCTGAGTTTAACTTTCGGTGAAGAATGGACAGTGTTCAGTCTATTGGCCGATAGACAGAATAGGACACGTCCTCTGTGTAAGGGCTCCCTCACGAGAATGCTCTTGCAAGAGGCTGCCGGGCATCTCGTGGGACACTCCACAAAGAGTTACAATTTGACCAATGGCGTTGCAGCAAATGAGCGGGAACCAGTTATATTGATCGTTCGATGATCAGTAGGAGAGGTGACGTCATGACCACATCAGAGCTGTTATTCTCCATTGCGCCGGTAGAAGTTGACCTCAGGGGTCAGACTATCGCCACGCAGGCATCTCCCCTTTCTCTCATGCTTCGCACCAGCCAATGTACTCACTGACCCTTTGTGGCAAGTATGCTTAACTTCCCTGTATCTACTTCCTGCCTGGACATACGGCGGCCTCCGTATTATAAACGTGTTTCTAGTTATGTGGGCATTCTGTAGATACCCAACATGCCAGTATATTTTCCAGGGATAACAGGGATAGGGCTTGTGCACTAAGAACGGTGCACTGTGCACTGCAATGAGCCATTCAAGTCAGAGCCATTCAAGATACTCCCAGCTGTGGGAGAATCTTGAGATACCATATTCTCACATCACCCCCCAACAAAAGACCGAGTTCCACATAGTGGTGCTCATTCCACCTCACACCGCTGACACACGTGCACATACTGAGTTCACGTGGTGTGGCTGGGTCGAGCGGACCCCATTTTCTATACTGCTAAGCGAGGCGAGTCCTCGTCTACACTATTTCCTTCTGTTAAGTGAGGAATTTCTTCAGTCACCAGGTCACATTTGGCTATCTGTTCAGGTCTTGAGCAGACACTGTGGTCGGATCGAGCTTATGCTCTAGGTCATCTCAACGCCTCGAAACCCTGAGTGGCTCTAGTCTGTCCACTGCCTCTCTCCACCTGAGTCATGCCTGAAACATCAGAGGCACACTGGGAACCAGTGTCCAGTGATTCGCGTTCCCATTTCCTCGCTCCTGTCTCCGTCGTTCGACGTCTCGTTAATCACCCCTGACCTACTCAACCAGTCAGCACTTGAATGTGAACTGTTGAAGGAACAACACCCAACGCATTATTCAAGGGTTTGCGTTTTTAAGCGTGCCGATGTGGCTGAGGGGTTGATGATCTACTTGAAACGTGAAACGCTTACCATAGAGATACTGGTAGAATTTCCTTACTCCCACGACAGCAGCAAGGAGCTCCTTTTCTACAGTGGAGTACTTATGCTCAGAATCGCTCAATTTACGACTGGAGTACGCAACTGGCCAGATTTCACCGTCGTACTCTTGCATGAGTACAGCACCAATACCTGTATTAGAGGCATCTGTCCGAAGGATGTAATCCCTGGTAGAATCTGGTAGTCTAAGGATGGGTGCTTCAGTTAGCTTCTTCTTGAGCGTTGAGAATGCTGAGTTCTCCATTTCTGTCCAACATACTCTAACAGGTGCATTCTTCAAAGGTTAGATTAGTTAGCGGAGTTGCTATAGACGTGAAATTGGGAATGAAAGTTCTGTAGTACCCTGCAAGTCCCAGGAATGACTTAACCTGTGTCTTGGTGGCGGGTGGAGCTGCTTCACTGATCTTGGTGATCTTCTCAGGCAGCGGCCTGGTGAACCCTCCTCCTATCACGTGACCAAGGTACCTGACCTCCTTGCACCCCAACTCACACTTATTGGGGTTTGCAACCATTCCTACTTCTTGTAGTCTTGCCAACACCTGCTTTAGCAAGCTCAGATGTTCTTCCCACGAAGCAGAGTGGGTGAGCATATCGTCCACGAACACTTCTCCTCCAGTAATTCCCCTCAAGACCTTGCGCATAGTTCTGTTGAACACGGCCGGGGCGTTCACCAGTCCAAACGGAAGAACTATAAACTAGAAGAGACCTTCGCTTGTCATGAAGGCAGTGCAGCGCTTACTGTCTTCATCTAATGGAATCTGCCATAATCCTTTTGTCAGATCGAGCTTGGAGAAATAGCAACTGGAAGCTAACCTCGAGAAGATCTCATTCTGATTGAACATCGGTTCAGTATCAAACTCTATGATGGAGTTCAACTTCCTGAAGTCGAGGCAGATGCGCACACCTCCCCCAGGCTTCTTCATTAACACCTTCGGGCTTGAGTACAATGAGGTCGGCTTCTCTATTACTCCCGCATTAATCATAGATGCCAGTTCTTCTCTCACCTGTGGTACAAGGTGATGAGGAACAGGATATGGTTTTGTTCGTACCGCTTGCTGCTCTGGCAAAGGTAATCGGTAACCCTCTACCTTTGCCACTTTAGTGACGTCAGAGAGTACCTCCTTGTACTCTGATACCAGTCGATACCCTTGGGTAAATACTGGTTCGGTAACAGGGTTGTTGATTTTTGGAACCAATTACCGAGTAACGTGGTGGAGATGGGGTCCCTCGATTGTTTCAAGCGCGGATTGGACAAGTATGAGTGGAATTGGCTAGTTATAGATAGGAGCTGCCTCGTATGGGCCTATAGGCCTTCTGCAGTTGCCTTTGTTCTTATGTTCTTATGAGTAACCCGATCGACTTGATCTTCAGACAGCTGAACATCAACCTTAACATCTCGGTGTGTCTCCTGCTGCTGTTGATTGAAGAGACCTGGCTGACCTACCTCCTCGTCGGCGGTTATCACTGAGACACCGGCGATCGTTGCTGAGAGCAGAGGGTGGTCAATCGGCCCTGTCGATGTCGAGCCCCGCGGTCCTCTCCTCTTCTTACGTCTTACATGCTTCTTCGGCTTTGCAGATCCATCTACAGGAGGGTCCTCGTAGCGTTTGAGCATGTCGACGTGGTACTTCTTCCTGGCACCATCGACGTCTAGCACGTAGTTTAACGAGTGCGAACACTCCACTACTGTGAATGGGCCCTTCCACTGCAGCAAGAGCTTGTTCTTGCTGGTGGGAAGTAACAAAAGTACCTTGTCACCTACATTGAACTTGCGTTCTTTTGCTTTTTTCACCTTTGCAGACACTCCCTGAATGTCTCGTAATTTCAAAGATTTTTCTGGGCGAGTAGGCTTGTTGCTCTCTGACCTCGTAGTGACAGCTGCCACGAGCGAGTTACCTGTTAATGGAGTTGCTGTCGCTTCAACCAGAGGTTTTGCTTCTTTCTCCATTACTTCACAGCTTGCCTACTCTCCCTTATTCTTCAGCTGGGTGAGGGTGTGGTCACTCCCTGTGACGACACCCTCGGGCGAGTCACCCTTGGCATCAGCTAACTGAGAGCGACTGCACACAGCTGAGTCAGTGTCCTCACTTTCCCCCATTTTCTTCGAGGGTGAACTCGGGCAATCAGAGATTCCCGGAACATTTCTCAATAAAAGTCCATATACAGCACG